TCTCCGAGAATGACACGCACGAACATACTACCATCACTCATACACAAATATACACACATTCAACCTCTGCTCACGACAAACAACCTTTACTCATGACAAACAAATATTCAACCCCTGCTCACTACAAACAACATTTACTCATGACAAACACAAATATTCAACCCCTGCTCACGACAAACAACATTTACTCATGACAAACACAAATATTCAACCCCTGCTCACTACAAACAACATTTACTCATGATAAACACAAATATTCAACCCCTGCTCACGACAAACAACATTTACTCATGATAAACACAAATATTCAACCCCTGCTCACTACAAACAACATTTACTCATGACAAACACAAATATTCAACCCCTGCTCACGACAAACATTTACTCATGACAAACACAAATATTCAACCCCTGCTCACTACAAACAACATTTACTCATGATAAACACAAATATTCAACCCCTGCTCACTACAAACAACATTTACTCATGATAAACACAAATATTCAACCCCTGCTCACTACAAACAACATTTACTCATGATAAACACAAAATTATTCAACCCTGCTCACTACAAACAACATTTACTCATGACAAACACAAATATTCAACCCCTGCTCACGACAAACAACATTTACTCATGATAAACACAAATATTCAACCCCTGCTCACTACAAACAACATTTACTCATGATAAACACAAATATTCAACCCCTGCTCACGACAAACAACCCTCACTCGTGACAAACACAAATATTCAACCCCTGCTCACTACAAACAACATTTACTCATGATAAACACAAATATTCAACCCCTGCTCACTACAAACAACATTTACTCAGACAAACACAATATTCAACCCCTGCTCACTACAAACAACATTTACTCATGATAAACACAAATATTCAACCCCTGCTCACTACAAACAACATTTACTCATGATAAACACAATATTCAACCCTGCTCACTACAAACAACATTTACTCATGATAAACACAAATATTCAACCCCTGCTCACGACAAACAACATTTACTCATGATAAACACAAATATTCAACCCTGCTCACTACAAACAACATTTACTCATGATAAACACAAATATTCAACCCCTGCTCACTACAAACAACATTTACTCATGATAAACACAAATATTCAACCCCTGCTCACTACAAACAACATTTACTCATGATAAACACAAATATTCAAAAACCCCTCACACAAACAACAATTTTCTCCCTGATAAAACAAAAAATAAAACAACCCCTGCTCACGACAAACAAAAACCCCCACTCGGGGACAAACCAATATACCACCTCCACTCTGTTTTAAAAGACTTCTCACACTACACAAAAATCATTTCCCCCCATTATGAAGTTTTCGAACAGACTTGCCTTAAATACGACTATAAATTTCGAAAGACTTAAATTTTCTAAGATTCTTTCCAAAACCAGAGTCAATCTTAAAACCAGTATTTTTTGCCAGGTTTGGGGGGGCCCCCAAAAGCGCTCGTCTTGCATAATGTCCCAAAACCCGTGGGGTGGCCCAAATTTAACTAGGTTGTTGGGGACTCGAACCAAACCCCCCCGCCGATTAGATACCCTCCCCTTTTTAAAACACACACAAAAACACACACACACACACAAAATTATATATTTTAAAATTTTTAAAATATATAAAATATAAATAAATATAAATAAATAATATAATCTCCTTTCCCTTTTAACAAACCCGGGGTAAACCCCAAACCCCCGAGGCGGGGGGCCCCAAAAGGAAAAAAGAAAGTTTCTCCTTTTAACATTTAGTAATATATACAGGGGAAGGGTTACTACCCCTTGCTTCCGGCATTTTAGTCGCCCTTACACAAACCCCTGGCTTATGAAGGAAAATTCTATTCCACTTTCCCCTTCGACGTATGCACATCCCTCTTTAAAAATTTAGGGTTTAAATTTTGCAAAAATAATAATAAAAATAATGTTAAAGCTTCGTTTAGTTGGGCGGTTTATAATGGGTTCTGGCATTAAGTGTGCATCCTTTGGGGGATTTGACTCTTGAGTTCAAAGCCCACCCCGAGGTCTTCTCGTCTTCCTTGAAACCCCCATTAAAAAAAAACCTTATAAAAGGGGTAAGTATTATTCTAGCCTTTTAAATTTCCCTCCCTTTCCCCTTTCCCTAATATGTCCCGGGGCACCCACTACAACCCCAACCCCTACCATTACAAAAAACACTCCCCCCATGTACAATTTTCTGCACAGTTACCGCAAATTCCCTTTTAAAAATCACCCCTGTGTTTTTTTTAAACCCAGGTGTCGTCTGGGCTTTGGGCGGGGGGCATGTACAGTTTAGACCCTATCCCGGGGGGTTTAAAAAACGGGTAAATGTGACGGCTCCCCCTGGTTCCCTTTTGTGTGCCCAGCTGAAATGGGGAGGCATCCTCTGTGACCAAGGAAAATCTTGCGCGGGGCCTGCAGGGAGGAAAAGAAGAACAGGGGTAGACAGAGACCCCCAATTTTTATGAAAAATCGGTTGGAATTGCCATCCTAAGCTTGTAGGGACTGGGGGGAATTTTTCGTCCGTCAGCAGAAACTGGGGAAAAATCGTCCTAACGCTCATCCCTTTTTACATGACCATCCCCCTTTAAAAATTAAATTTTTCACCGACTAAGTTCCTTTTTTCCTTTCCGGGCAACCCCCGTAAGAAAATTAAAAACATAAATTTTCCCATAAAATTTTGAAGAATTTCTTTAAAGTAAAAAAGCAGCGAGCAAGGGTCAAGTGAGAGAAAAACCAAAAGGAAATTTTTTTAAAAGGAAAAGAGGCTAAGGGCCCCTTAAATCGGTGCACGAAACCCCGAAATTAATTATTTAATTAAAACAACCAAAGTGGGTTCCCTTTGTTTTTGCACCTTTGTAATTCCCCCGGAACAGCAGCCCCAGGGAAAAATACCCCAGGGCACAAAGGCTCTTTATCAGACCTCACAAAAACCACGAAAAGAGATATAAATACGAAACAAATACAAGGAGGGGGTTGAATATAGATTTTAGGGCCCTTTTTTGGTTTTAAAAAAATTTTTACCCGGGAAAAAATTTGCTTTAACTTTTCCAATTCATTACGCAACATTTCAACTCCTGTGGGTTTATTGCCTCCCCCGAAAGGCCTAGACTCCCAATTTAACCCCCCCCTTTTTTTTGTTTTTTTGATTTTATATATTTAATATATAAATATATATATATAGTATATATATAAAATAAATATATTATTTTATATAAGTTTTTTAAAATATAGTATATATATTTGTATATAAAATTTTTGTTTATAATGTATATATATGTATTATATTATTATGTATATATATGTATGTATATAATGTATATATAGTAGTATAAAAAGTATATAAATTTTTAGTATTTATGTAAAAGTATGAATATATTATATATATGTATTAAAATTGTAAATATTATTAAAAAATGAAAATATGTATATATATGATATAATGTATATATAGGTAATTATAGATATAAATTTTTATATATGTTATATATTATATATATATATATATTAAAATATAATAATAATATTATATATGTATATATATTATATATATATATTTTAAAAAAAAAATTATAAATTTTTTATATTAAAATTAATTTTTAATATATATATTATAAATAATATGTATATATTTGTATTATATATGTTTATATAAAAGGGAAAAATTTTATGTATATAATATATGTAATATATAATATGTATATAAATATTTATTTATATGTATAAATATTATTTTATATAAAATTTTAAAATATAATGTTTTAAAAATGTATATAAAATGAATATTATTAAAATATATATAGAAATATATAAGTATATATATAAGTATAATTTGGTAATTTTATATGTATATATATAAAATGAATGATTATATGTATGAAAAAATGAAATGTATTTTTTTATGTATATAATGTAATTTTTATGTATATAATGTATTATATGTATAAATAAAGTAATTAAAATTAAATATAATTTATATAAATGTATATTATTAATTATATGATAAAAATTAAATAATATAATGTATATAAAATTTTGTAATATATGTTATATAATGAAATTAAACAAAAACAAAACACAAAAACATACATTAAAAACCTAAAACAAACATAAAACATTTCACAAACCATAACAACAAAACAACAAACATTTTCAAAAACAAACCAAAAAACCAAATACAAACAAAAACATAAAACAATACAAAAACCCCCCCCCCCCCCAAAAAAAAAACCCCCCCCAAAAAAAACCCAAAATACAAACATAAAACTTAAATTCCCAAACATAAAAAAAAAAAACCAAAAAAAACAAAAAAAAACCCCCCCCAAAAATTTAAAAAAAAAATTTAAAAAAAAAAAAATTTAAATTTTAAAAAAAAACCCAAAAAAATTTTTTAAAAAAATAAAAAAAAAAAAAAAAATTTTTAAAAGTAATAAAAACCAAAAAAAAAAAAAAAAATAAAAAAAAAAAAAAAAAAAAAACCCCAAAATAAAATTTAAAAAACCCCAAAAAAAAAAAAATTTTTTTTAAAAAAATTTTAAATAAAAACCAAAAAAAAATTTTAAAATTAAAAAAAAAAAAAAAAACCCCAAAAATAAAAAAAATAAAAAAAAAATTTTTAAATAAAAAAAAAACCCCCCAAAAAAAAAAAACCAACCCCAAAAAAAAAAAAAAACCCCCCCCCCAAAAAAAAAAAAAAAAAAAAAACCCAAAACCAAAAAACCCCAAACAAAAAAAAAAAAAAAAAAAAAAAAAAAAATTTTTAAAAATTTAAAAAAAAAAAAAAAAAAAAAAAAACCCCAAAAACCCAAAAAAAAAAAACCCCTAAAAAAAAAAAACCCCAAAAAAAAAAAAAAAAAATAAAAAAACCCCCCAAAAAAATTTTTTTAACCCAAAAAACCCCCAAAAAAAACCAAAAAAAAAAAAAAAAAAAAAAAAAAAAAAAAAAAAAAAAATTTTTTTTCCCAACCCCAAAAAAAAAATTTTCCCAAAAAAAAAAAAAAAAAAAACCCCAAAAAACCCCCCAAAAACAAAAACCAAAAACCCCCCAAAAAAAAAAAAAAAAAACCCACAAAAAAAAAACCCCAAAAAAAAAAAATTTAAAAAAAAAAAAAAAAACCCCCCAAAAACCCCAAAAACCCCAAAAAAACCAAAAAAAACCCCCAAAAAAAACCCCCCAAAAAAAAAAAAAAAAAAAAAAACCCCCCCCCAAAAAAAAACCCAAAAAAAATTTTACAAAAAAACCACCCCCCAAAAAAAAAAACCAAAAAAAAAAAAAAAAAACCAAAAAAAACAAAAAAAAAACCAAAAACCAAAAAAAAAAACCCCCCAAAAAAAAAAATTTTTAAAAAAAACCCCAAAAAAAAAAAAAAAAAAAAAAAAAAACCCCAAAAAACCCAAAAAAATTTAACCCCAAAAACCCCCAAAAAAACCCCAAAAAAACCACCCCAAAAACCCCAACCCCAAAAAAAAAAAAAAAAAAATTTAAAAAAACCCCCCCCAAAAAACAAAAAATTTTTAAATTTTTAAAATTTTGCCCCAAAAAAAAAAAACCCCCCCCCCAAATTTCTAAAAAAATTTTAAAATTTTTTTTTTGGGGTGGGGTTTTTTCCCCCGGGCCCCCCCCTTAAAGAAAAGGAAAACCCCTTCCCACCCCAAAAAAAATTTTAAAAATTTTAAATTAAAAAATTTTGAAGGGGTTTTTAAACTTTTTTAAAAAATTTTTTTTTTTTCCCAAAATTAAAAAAAAAAAAAATTCCCCCCCCCCCGGGTTTAACCCCCTTTCCCCCCTTTCCCCCGCCGGTTACCCCCAAAAAAAAAAAAGGTTTTTTTTTTTTTTTAAAAAAAAATTTTTAAAAGTTTTTAAAAACCCCGCCCTATTTGGGATGAATCCTTTTTGTGGGGTACTGGGCGCCTATTTGGGTGAATCTTATTTTGGCAAACTGGCTAGTGGGTAACGCGACGGGGTGGATTTTTGAGACTAAACCGCGGGGTTTAAGTCCCGGCCCGGGGGATGGTTTGATTAAATGGGGTATTTTTACAACTAATTATGTTTTTGATGTTAAACGCAAAAAGAGAATTTAAAATTTCAAAAGCCCACAATTCAATGACTTTAAAATTTCCCGGGAAGAAACTTAAATAAAAGAGGAAAATGTTTTTTTGTAAAAAAAAAGATCTGGGCCGCAGACCACCAAATGGAGAGTTTTAGTAACCAACCCCCCATCAAAACTCGCCACTTTTTTTCCCCAAAATACCCCCAAAAAATTTTTTTCCCTTCTGGCGCCGGGATTGACTGCTCCGGGGGGGCCCCCCTCGCGAAATTTTGAATACACCCATACCCCCTTATTTCCCCGCCAAGACTGCCTTCCATTGTATTCTTATAAGACTTTTGGGTGCCCTCTTTTTTTATCGCCGATCGTAACCCCGCGGGGGGGGGAAACCAGGGCGGAAAACCCGGGGGTTCACGGGGGGTACGTGGGTTTTAGCCTCTGTTTTGGGGTGCAAAAGGGGAAGGGTATTACCCCCGTGGGGTTTAGTGGGGGGGGCGCCCGTGTTGCCCCCGGGGGGGCCCGGGCTCCACTGTTTGCTCGCCCCGTAAAAGGGGTTTTTTACTGTCCCCATTTCCCATGCGAAAAAGTTTTAAGGGGGGGAAGATGGCATTATTTAAGATAGGCCCCAGCAAAAGGAATTTCAAAATAAACGTGGGGGCGGGAGGGGAAAAGAATTTTATCGACAATTACCGAGAACAATGTTATCGCTGCTGCCGCATGAAAGCAGGAATAAATATGCAAGATCGCAATCGTTGACGGCCACTCAAACGCCCCGGCTTCCATTGTTTTCCTAATGACAACAACAAGCAAAATGCCTTGTTTGAAAGGGTGAGGGCTAAGAAGAGGCTTGTGCCTCGTCGCACGGTGAGCTGGATGTAAAAAAGATTTTAGTTGTGGTATGAACATTGTGTAGCAGTGTCAGTGAGAGGCAGCAGGAGCGTAGGCATCCAGCGTAACGTTGTGTAGCAGTGTCAGTGAGAGGCAGCAGGAGCGTAGGCATCCATCGTAACGTTGTGTAGCAGTGTCAGTGAGAGGCAGCAGGAGCGTAGGCATCCAGCGTAACATTGGTTTGCAGTGTCCAGTGAGAGGCAGCAGGAGCGTAGGCATCCATCGTAAACGTTGTGTAGCAGTGTCAGTGGGGAGGCAGCAGGAGCGTAGGCATCCAGCGTAACGTTGTGTAGCAGTGTCAGTGAGAGGCAGCAGGAGCGTAGGCATCCAGCGTAACGTTGTGTAGCAGTGTCAGTGAGAGGCAGCAGGAGCGTAGGCATCCAGCGTAACGTTGTGTCAGTGTCAGTGAGAGGGAGCAGGGCGTAGGCATCCAGCGTAACGTTGGTTAGCAGTGTCAGGA